TAATAAGGAGATTAGGTAACGCGAGCTCGAAAACGAGTGCGTACAGTTGCAGCACGCGCAATCTTCGTGTCTATTCACACTTACTGTGTGAATACACACGTGAATTTTACAAAGACTCGACTCGACTCTAGTGAATACACCTGATCGTAATTAAATCTGTCAATACGAATTACAAAAAATTGTATGAATTTAGTAATTTCTTTTTATTCTTCACGGTGAATGCTAATATACGGTTCTATATGCAAATAAAAAACACATTTTTTTAAAATCAATTTTCTGTTTATTATCGGTGAATAGTGTTGAATTGATGGATATCGACGGCAAAACTTGATGTTAACCGTGCGCAGGGTTGCTACAAGGATAACAATGGAATTAAGGACATCCGAAATATATTTCATAGCAAATTATTTTCATACAAGTAAATAGTATATCACATAAATCGTATAACAAGGAAATAGTAAATCATGCAAACAACGAAACAATAGATGAAGATAAATTATATTGCACACTTTCAACAATAACAGGGGGGCCACTTTTTCCAGGACGAATTTCCCGGACTTTTCCAAGTTATCCAGGTAATTTCCTTATTTTTCCCAAGACAAAATTTATGAATTATTGCAGGGTATTTAAATAAAACATGACATTGAAAGATACAACACTGATATTCACTGAACCCTTTTCGTCGTTGCATTCCACATTTTCTTGCACTAACACTAACATTGTGTGAGAGAAAGAGAGACGCACTTCGATTCAAAACACACAGTATCTTTCTTTATTTTTCATTTCTCTGATTGCACAGTACAAAGTCAAAAAAATGCTTAACAAAGGAATTAGCCGCTTGCGTAGCTGTAGCTGATAGTTCTGTGATGTAGTTCACCAATAGTCCCAAATCGCAATTTTTGCAGGCGTGTGTGGCATTATAACAATAAAAGTTCAGGGCATTTGGTAGACACAGACAAAAATCTGGCGGGACAGCGGGGCACGTCGATATTCAGGACACACCCCGCTTTCTTAAGACGTATGACAACTCTAACCATGCGACATAACTGAACTTGGTTAACTCCAATAAACCACAAACAAAAGTTTGGCCCACTAGAAGTTAAATCTCTATTTAATGTCCTTCCCGAAAATTTACATGCCAGAGACGCCCGTGAGTATGTAAGAAATGAGATCCGACATGACAACCAAAATAAGCGATGGCTTTTCGCAAGGTTACGCTAGCACTCATAATAAAGAAATCGTTCAAAAATAAAAGTTCAGCATGGTAAATTGGGAAATGATTTGAGATTTGCCCTATTCCCAGCTTTTGTAACTTTTCATTGATTTACAATCGCGCATTAACTTTATAACTGAGAGGCAATTACCACATCCTTAATACAAGTGCTTCCATGATACGACGTTTTTCTATGCAATGGAGTAAAATACGTAAATAACTGATTTACATAATAAAAAGTGAATGTTATATTTTGGATAATAAATGGGTTATTCCTTGTAAAATTAGGCAGAAATTCCCCGGGTATATCTAAATTTATTAAATCTGTACAAAAATGTTTTGATATAGTGAAAAAAGCAAAACATTTTTCAAATATTTTTTTAACGCATGGATGTGAAAATTAACCTTTTTTGACTAGACTAGGGGATTTTATGACACGAGTTTCAAAAGTTGCCTTCAAACTCAGTTTTACTGTCATTTGAAGTTTTGGTTTTTGATTCGTGTAGTAAAAAACTAATGACTAATAACTAATTTTTGATGTCCCTGAACAGATTCCAAAACCATAGAAGATAGAAATGCGCTAAAATCTAAATAATCAGTCAAATACTACAAAATTTACTCCCCAAAAAGCTTATCATCAATTTTCAAGGTTTGGGACTAAAAATCAAGGGGAGTTTTGGCGCAAAAACATTACAATGGAGGAGTTCTGATTTTCTAAAGTTATCTTTTTAAATTGATACTCTATTTTTTTCGTTTTCAAGACAATTCGATACTTAAGAACCAAAAGTGTAAATTTTCAAGTTCCTTTATAATATTCAATTTTACATAGCCAGGCATTAAGTAATCTTGTAATTCGTTACATTTTTAATAATAACTATAGCTGGTACCACATTTTTTAATACAATACAAACATGTTTCAGTTAAACAAGTTAGCAAAATTCTCGAATAAAATTAACTTTTACACAAGGAACACAGACTTCAAAAATGCTATCATTTTTTTCATCTATTGTTCTACATTAAATTTGTTTTCAAGAAAAGAAGTATTCTGCATTATTTGAGCACTTTTACAATCTTCGGTAGGGTGAAATATTACGAATATAAAATCATACTATAAACTTTTACCCAATATAACCCAATAAGTAGCCAATCACAAATGATAAAAAATACAAAGCTGCACCACTGCACACTACGCTGAATTTTCGTGAGTTTGAATGGGTGACCACATTTGAAAGGGTGAAAACCAGAACGGTATAAGTGACATTTTATAAATTCTGAGAAAAACGTGTTTATTTTAAGCTATATTTTCGTGGTTTTAATTAACAATTCAAAAGCCGTGGTATTAATGATGGCGCAAAGCACACGAGCAGTGATATGGAATTAAATAAACAATTTTCTCAGAAATTACAAAATGTCACTTATATTGTTCCGGTTTTCACCCATTAAATTCGTTTATATTACAATGTTAACTGACGAATAAACATGTTCTTTGACTAAGTATATCTGAAATAACGGTTACATTTACCCCATCTACACTTGGTTGTGTCTGTTATTCACTTTAGAAGGACAATGAGATACTTAACTATCAATACATAACAGAAGCTACTTAAAAAGTAGCATTTTCTTCAGCAAATGAGAGCAAAAATAAAAGGAACAACTATTAACAGGTTCTAGTAAAAAATTGTTAAATGCTTTGCTTGTTAAATAAAAGCAATCTTCACGATTACCGTTTTCGGAACTGATGATAGGCATTCCATTTCAAAACAAGAGGAATTTTCATGATATTTTCAGTGTAAATGAATAAAATAAGACCAACATATACGTCAAATTCTTATGGGATGCACAAAACATTAACATTTTGCAAAGCTTTAAACAATTTTACTTGAGATGTTGCGGCAGCTAGGACACCAATAAATAACTTATTCGTGAACTTTGTAAATAGCTCCAAATTATTCGTAAATAATCATGGATTTCATTTTAATTGATTGTACATCTTTCGGTATGGACAAGTTAAGGAAAAAAAATTCCAACATCAATTAGCAATTCTACTTGCAATTAACTTTCGTACACGATGAGAGTTTTACTAATAACAAACTTCTCGGATGCAAATGTTTTATGAAGTATGGTGTTCTGTTTCATGAAAGCAATCAAGGCAAGATGTGCCCAAAAAAATTAAAATCATGCAGTGAGAGAAATTACCAAAATGTAAATGTAAAAGAAAAAAGTAATGAGCGCAGTAATTGTATCACCGTCGCATTCATGCAGCGTGAGGAAGAGGGGGCGTGGCCTAAGCCAAGGACTGCATTTCTGACAATTTTAGTGATCTTGAGGTCTCGAGAGGTCTAGCGCTAAAAGAAGGACGGCAACCTTCGATCAATATTCCGACATAACCAGCCCCTTCCACTACATATTGATCCGGGCCTGCGATGAGAGAACCGCCACGAAAACCACATCCCACGCTATTCGCAACTATTCTGACGACCCCCGAAGTATATCGAAAAAGTGGAAAATTCTTACCCTTACATGATAAACAACTACGAATGTTTTCGCACCAATATGTTCCGAAAAAGCATATTCCTTTGCCGCATAGGAGTTGAATTTCCAAATCAAATGCTCGCCCACCGTCAGAAAAGGTATCCAGTGGTCATCGCCTTGTATTCGGGGAATCGACACACTAGTTCAATGGCAGTCGGGCTAGGGAACATGACCTTGCACTCACTACAAAGGCACAAAGTGTAAACATTCCTAAAATGTCTGGCACTTCACATGGTCAACAAAAGTTTCATAAATATGAAATAGCATATTGTACTTCATCCTAAAGAAATTTTAATAAAAGCAGAAAATTTAACACATGAGCGAAAACTAAACATGGTGAAATTTATTATTTTTATAGATACCCAACCCAATTGCATGTAGTGTATATATTTCAAGTTTCAAATTATTTAACTATAATCTACAAGTTTCTTAAATTACATCGGGCATTTTATTATAAATTCTTTCATTCAGGGCACTAACTTATGCCAAAGAAGTAATTAGTACCTCTATTCTGAATGGCAACCACAACAAATAGAAACGCAAAATAATAAGTAATGTACTAAAAAACTCTGTCCGTAACTATTTCAGTATCAATTACACCGAAAAATCCCTGCATTTTAGCGATGTACACTAGGAGTTATTTTTAAAAACTTACCCAATAGTTACTATTTAACACTGAGCACAACGTAAGTAGACAAGAAAATATCAATGAAAATGATAGACTATTCAATAAATAAACGCGCTGTTTCAAAAAATAAAAGTAACTTTAAAGATAACAGAATAAACAATTCATCGATCTCGTGTATGATGTAATGTCAAAAGTGTATACGCATAAAAGCATGTTCTCTATAAACATTGTAACTTGACACACCGCAAAAAATACCTGTTACGAGAACAAAATTATTCGCAGGAAAAAAAATAACCTGCACTTTCACTTTGTTCAATGTTACGCGAGAGCTGTCCCGATCTTGAAGTGGATTTAGGTGAAGGGCCGCGCAAGACGCCTAGCGACAATGACCGTGACACTCGCATGCCGCCGATTAAAACTCACCGCACCGGCTCAACAAAACTAAATAAAACGTTCTAAACAAGTTACACAGGTCATGTACGTTACAGATAACAGCCCACGGATGATTCTTCAAATATTTCAGCACCTGTTACATTTTGTTTCGCCTTTCGATCTTTCTTTGTGTGTTTAACTTCAGAAAACAAACATAATTCTACAATTTCATGAGTGAAGCACTATAAAATAAACCTACCTATCAGAACTCTCGGAGCTATCGTATCGGTCAGCACATCTTTTCTTCCTGCAATTGTCTCCGGCGTCCGGGCAGAGGGATGTAAAATCCACATGTTCCGTGTTAGCACTACAAAGCATATCTCTAGAAGCGTGCACACCCAAAGTCACCACGCCATTCACTCGAAAATTGGAACATAATTCTCCACTTTCACCGTTAATATAAAACGTCGATTTTAAGCTGTTCAGTCCCTTACTGTTTAAACTATCTTTATGCGACATTCCAAGTAAATCTACAGTCTCTTTCACTGCAGTACCATTATCGTTATTTGCCGTCCCTTCCACACACAGCCCGTCTGCCATCTTGTTTGGTACGCACAGCAACACTGAGTGACGTCACGACAAGGAAGAGGGTGGGAGCAGCGCTTCGTGACGTCACAGTCATCTTTTTTTTGGTCCCTCTCCTTTCTCTTACTCTCACTGTCCATTGGCTAACGATCAATTACATAATTTACAGCAGGAGTAATGACTTCACTCGTATTAAATATGAACGTTTGACCCAATGACCGCCAACGTAAAGACCTCCAAAATTATTAAGTCCTGTCTTCGGTCAACAACCGGCAAGTCACCAATGAAACTAGGGTTCTACACGAAAACTCTCTAGATCTCTCTACTAATCTTTTTAATGTTTCATAAACAAATATACATAAGAAGTACATTGGCAAGGCACATAGAATTGAAAAAAAACTCTTTGTCATCCAATAAAAGTCTTGCTTTCATGGCAATCGGCTAAGGAACACAAATAACAAGATATGAAATGTAAATCAGTAATTTATGGAATTGTTTAAATAAACTGCATTCTAGAACATTTTCATCATTATGAACATCGACATTCAGTTTGTAATTTTTTTTTTTTTTTGTCTTACTACAAGGTAATGAAGCAGTGTTCTTTCATGTGATGAAAAGTTCCTGCTGGTGTCAAAAAAAAAATCACTTGAAATTCAAATAATTTGATTGTATTTCATTAAATCAACACCAAAAATTAAGAATTTTTTAATGTACACTAAAAAATACACTTATCACACACCTGCTTCTGTTGTTTTTCTTTTTTTGCACACAAACATTCATTTGAATGTTTCAATCAAGAAATATAAATTCATTTTAGTGTTGAACAAATAAATGTGATAATTATTATACAAAATCTTTAACTGACACATAACAAATTTCACAAGTTCTTCATGAATCATAGATTTAAATAATTGCTTTTATAAAAGCAATTCAATGCACCAATTATCCAAATGTCAACAATTTCACTAAAATGTATATTTAATAAAATAAAATACAAAAATGAGGATTCTTAGAAAAAAGACAGAAAGGAGTAACAATTACAACAGTAGCTTTTATCTGGAAATATCAAGTGCCCCATATTATTCCATAATGCTTGTACATGTTGAAAATCATCTTAAAGTATGCACTGGCAAGGCATTCTAATAATACACACTGGACTTTAAATAAGAAAAACTAGAATATCGCAAACCCAATAAAACCATTAAAGCACCAAATGAAAATAACCAAAATAACAATCCAACCACTTCATTTAATAAAATTGTAACAGAATCCATCATGTACCCATTAACATGATTAAAAATCAGTAGCATACAATATAGTTTGCCAAATAGGTCTACATACATTGAACTTACAACTATCAACACCAAAAGAATTTATAAAAGCAATCAAATATATCAGAAAAATACAAGAAATACTAAAATAAAAAGAAAGCAGCTAAAACACAAACAAATTTCATTCAAAATATGTACAAAACATTTAAAGATTAACCCTTATCAAGGTTCATCACAATGAAACAAATTCTTTGCAATATGTACATTATCTCCTTTTCTTCATCTATATACATTATAGAATTAATCCAGAAATAACAGTTGATAACTGGATCATGAGCAAAAAACTATATTACAGCTGGTTGAGTGCAACTGGAAATGCAATCAGTTTTTTAAACAGGTACAAGGGAAGAAGAGTGTTTACAGTCAAACAATCTTCCAAAACAGGCACATTGTATACCACATAGACAAATCGGAAAGGGGCTGATAAACTAGAATGAGTGATCAACAAACACGGGTGTCCAGAGAAAATGACAGGCCTGGGGCAGTAGATCCACTATTATGAACAAGTCCCCCTCCCCCCCGAATTAATTTCTCCTTACAACAGAAATAACTTCTAGTGGTTGATTTGAATAACAAGTAAATACTTTTTTTTATTTTTTTAACTGAAAACACATGTTTGGGGCCTAATTAACTAGTGGTCTGAGGCAAGTTGCTCCAATGCCCTTCCCCCCTTCCGGGCACCCCTGTCAACAAATGTAATACCCAGAGCAACAAAATCGAAGTCAATGAATATTATCTATCTTTAAAATAGTACTTCATGCTTTCTATTACTGGAAAAACTAATGTATTTAATCAGTTATTACAATAATGCAACTTTCTAATGGATGAAAGGGAAAAAGAACAAAAAACACCTCATATGGTTTCATGATATAAGATGCTGTATCTCGTAACACAAGATTGAAAGACCTCAACATTCTTTTTAAATTACTTCACTTATTTTGGGTAATAACTTTGAAACTGATTTAATTTTTTTTCCTGAACACTTTTATATCTTCTTACTTGTCAATGGCACAAAGGAAAAATAAATTAGGAGTTCCCCAAACTGACAATTCCCATTACTGACAATTTGCAAAAACAATTATTAATACAAAGAAAAAGAGCCAGTGCATGATAATTTTCCATTCACCAGACATGGTTTGAAAATATTATAAAATTGGTACAAAGAACCTAACTCAGTATTGTTTAAAAAGTGTTCTATGTGAGACACAGTATGACCAGAACACAAACAAAAATAAATTCGTACTAAGATAATAAAGATCTGTTGTAATTCACTAAGTCAAAGAGACAAAAGAAACCACTTCAGGATTTAATGCGATCTTATTCAAAGCAATATTATAATTCACTGTATAAATAATTGACATCAATGAGGATAGGGTACATTAATATTAAATGGAATTCAGTACATTATATTTTCAATGTATGGAATCTTTGTAAACATTAACTTATTCTGCTGGGTAAAGCCAAAAATAAAATAAAATATAAAAGTGAAATATCTGATGATAACGAGTTCATTTTAATACCTGAAGTGTTGAAACCAGGCTACAAGGTTCTATCATACTTGAGCGAACAGCACAATATCATTTGTCATGAATATAAATGCATATTAGGAGGCTTAATATACTTGAGAACTTCGATGAGAATCATTCATTTCACCACAACAACAATGTACACTTTGCTATCAAACTTCTCTAAACTTTTAAAACAATAATTCCTTCATAACGATAGAGAGCAAATAAAACACCGGAAAACCTATATACTTACAGTACTTGAGCAATGATTATCAGTAATTATTGAACTAACAATAAAATGTTTCAGCAACTAAAAACAAGTTTTCCATGGTATAGATGATAATCTTTAACAAACTTTACCAGAAAATATTTCCACAATATAAAATGGATCAGACACACCCAGATTTTGTTTTATAATTACCACTGTCTTATATATTGAAATGTTCAAGTTTTTTATTTTATGTCCTTGATAATATTTTTGGATAGTCAACTTAAGTCTAACAATTTTGTAACTCATGGTCATGTTCGTTTGAGGTCAAATTTTTACATAGACTCATTATGTAACAATTCAAAAAACATTTATTTTGATCTGCAAAACAATGAAATAACTATATTTCCTAAACTGTTAAATAATGAGTTTATGTAAATATTTAACCTCAAACTAACATGACCATGTGCCACATAATAGCAAGATTATATGGACTGACTAAAAACATTATAAAGGACATAAAATAAAAAAACAGCTTACAACTAAATTTAAATTTAGCATCAATACAAATAATAATTTCTCTACACAATTTACAATTTTGTATATTTCACAAAGTTTTTCATTGTTTCATTGGACAAAGATAAAGACATTCACACTTCTTATAAGGCACATATAATACTTCTTGATCATTAAATTGCTTACAGTTGATCACAGACAATACAAAAATTTTATCTCAATTTATGAGACAAATGACAATCACTCAAAAGAAAAGCAACTATATTTAACATCTTCATAAATATTCATATCACAATATATGTTCTTTAATCACGCATACATTTTAGCAAAATATACTACTGAAAATAAAAACTAGCATTATCTTACAATGATATGTTTCATGGCTTTGAGCTGTCATATGTAATACAAAGTAAAAATGTCAAAGATACACTATACAACATTTTTGTTTTCATTTGATGTTCATTGCTGTATAAGGCACTATCAAACTTCAACAATTAAAATCATTCAAAGTTTGTAAAACTTGCTTATTAACATTTGATAAAATCTATTCACTACACTAATATGAAACAATGAATTTCAAAAATAAGGCACCCAATGTGGAATACCTAACAGCAAGATGAAAATATATACTCAAAAGTGGATCTTCTATAAGAGCACCAAGAAATGCAAATTTACAAAATTATTTTCACATTTAAAATGTATCAAAATATTCGCAAGATTACTCGGCATATTTATTGCTTTTACGATAATCACAACATCCAGTAATTTTGTTATGTCCACAATGAGGTAGGCATGATTCCTTCCATTGTTACAGCATTAGGTGTTAATACTTCATCTTTCAAGAATTCCAATGGCAAGCACACCAAGTGGCCCTAAAACATAAATTGCAAAACAATTTTACAAAAAGAACGTCTGTGATATTCATTATCAATAAAAGTGTCCAATACAACCATGAACATAAAGAAATGTTGCACCAAAATAGAATTCACAAACAAGTCATTAATCTCCAAAGAAGTGTTTTGAAGATAGATACCCTAAGAATTTAAGTTTTATGAATAGCATCTAACTTTAACAAATGTGCAGTACAACAAAGAAAAATGAACAATTAAATATTATTAAACCAAAATTCATTTTATAAAAAGAAAATGAACTTAATAAAATTAACTTCAAATTAAAAATAAATTGGAAAGTACATTTTGTTCTTTGATTTGCAATGACTTACTAAGGAAATGATTATTAAAGTCATTGCTTTCTTTTTAACTCCATTGCATTACTTAAGACTACATGTATTTTGGAACTTAAGTGCTTTTATTTATTTTCAAGCTTGAATTACTTTTTTTAAACAAATTTTAATGTTCACCTTTTCATGGGCTTTGGCAGAAAAAGAAACATATTTTGTTTTCTATTTGAAATGTTTCTCTTTATCCTTAAGAAAAACTATTGTGTACACTTTTGTTTTGTGTTAAATTTATGAAAATTAAACAATTATATTGTAAATATCACATATGCCATGAGAATGAGAGATTTCTCTCATCACATTATTTCTAAGTGTACAACAGACTTTAAAAAAAAAAGGTGGCATCTCTTTTTATCTTTCTTGTGAAAGTTTTGCTTACTTATTTTTGAAAAATGAACTTGACGTGATTTAAAATTACAAGAAAATTACTCATATTTTGGAGGAATAAAATTAAACCTTTTTTATTTTTTCCTGAACCAATTTTAAGTGTTAATACTGATGAAAAAATTAAAGTAAGAAAAAAATTGGTAGATTAAGATTAAGGTGTGTGAACAGTTTGAGAAAAATAGTTAAATCTTTGGAAACTTTACAAATTCAGAGATTTTCGTGAAAACGAGACGACATAATTATAATTGGATTGTCTTTTACAACAAGAAATTTTTAAAAAATTGACAATAATTTTTTACGACAATTTTGAAAATTTAGAATGAGCAAAACATAAAAAATCCCTAAAAAAATGAAGCAGGGAAAAAAAAAAAATCTCATGAACTCCACTTTTAAGTGAAAATGTTTGGTGAGTGTTTAATCCAATTTTTGCAACTATTTAAGAGCAAAATTTAAATGTTGAAGTATTTCAGGAATAAATCTTTACGATATTAATAGGTAATTGGATAATATCCGTGATCACTGCAAGATATTTTTTTTTCTCTCTTGTAAAATGTTTTTCAGGAGTCAGAGAGATGTTGATTTCCTTGATTAAATTATAAAATCCATTTTAAATTTGCAGGACCTTGAATTAAGGCAGACTAATCTGAGGATATACATATTGAACACAATCCTGTGAGCGATCATTGTTTGAAATGTAAAAATGTTACACCACTTGATTATTTATTACGATATCTTTGGACTCCACAAAAAGTAAATTGTTAAATTACTTCAGGAACTCTGGGAGATTATTCCCTTTAGTGCAAAGGGAAACTCATTTCAATTGAGGATCGCCTGCCAAAGATTCGGCTAAACTTACTTACATTTAATCATAAAATAAAAAAGAAAGGAAAGATTATTTTTATATATGAACTCACCTGGACACCTGACAAAAGTTTCATAGCTGCACCTCTGTCTGATATACTTAAAGGCACTTCCTCCTGAAGTTTTTTCAAAGTAGAGAAGTTAGTTGCTCTATCAGAGGGAAGGCAATGGAACACCTGAAGAAAGTACAAGAAAATTAGACAAAATCTAGCTCCCCCCTTAATTAGCTGAAGACTCCCTCACTATAGTCTTAAAGTAATTGGAATGCATGAAATTGAGATATTAAAAAATATGCATTTTTAGAAATAAATCAAAAATCTAGTGTTAAATTTGACTGGGGGAAAATCAGAACAGTGTAAGTGACATGTTATAAATTCTAAAAAATCTGATTATTTAAGTCAATATCACGGTTACATCATGGATCTTAGTTTCATGTTTACAACAAAATTCAATTGTTCACTAAAATCATTACAATACATTGTCACTAAAACATAGCCTAAAATAAACACTTATTTCTCAGAATTTATAAAATCATTTATACCATTCTGTTTTTCACCCATTCATTTGTCACAAAGAATGTTCCAGTCTTTAGTATGTGCAGTCTTCAGTATTATCACCAAAAGATTCCAAAATGCCATATTATTGTAATTTGAAAGAAATTAATGAAGTCAGTAGTTTGATACCTCTAACTTAAAAAAATAGTATATACTTCATTGATACATTAACTAACTTCTTCAAAACTGATGGCAAAAAATAGTGAGACATCCTGAGAAATGAATGATCAAATTCATTATTAAAAGCCAGCTCTTTGATAAAATGTTAATTTGTGAAGAATTCATTTGAAATTATTTTTATTAGTTAACTGGAGAACTCAGAATAATCATTTTTTTATTAATATCACCAATGTGAATTAGTTTTACTTAACTTATTTGTTTAGCTTTATTGCTTTGATTCTGTCAAGATTATAATTTTTTGTACATTATCTATTATTGATTCTGTTGGGTTATGGAATTCATGAAGATCTAGAAGCTAAAACTAAGTTTATGGGGAATACAAAATCCCATGTATTTTAATTTTTCTGGGAATAATCGACATATACCCAGTAAATCTGCTAATCACGATTTACTTCAAATTAATTTCAGTTATGAATCAAAGTTCATAACATACTGAACAGTCACTGATTAATCTCATTTTCATTTAATGAGGAGGTAGCAAGACCAGGTGGGTTGAAGATTCTGCAATATTTTATTTACCAAATGTAGGAAGAAAAGAAAAGAAAGGAAGAGAAGAAAAAAAAAAGAGAAGAAAAAAATAGAAGAAAAAAAGAGAAGAAAAAAAAGAGGAAAAGAAGAGAAGAAAAGAAGAGAAGTAGAAGAGAGAAGAAAAGAAAAGAAAAAAAGAGAAGGAAAGAAAAGAAAAAAAAGAGAAGGAAAGAAAAGAAAAAAGAGAAAGAAAGAAAAGAAAAAAAGAGAAGGAAAGGAAAGGGAAGGGAAGGAAAGGAAAGAAAAAAAGAAAGGGAGAGAGAAAGAGAGAAAGAAAGAGAGAAAAAAAAAGAAAAAAACGTAGCTTAGACTTTCTTCCACCTAGCAATACTACCCACTCAATTAAACTTTTGCAGATTATTTAGGAGCTGAGAGAGAACATCCCCCTCTCCCCAGGGTAAATTCCATTGAGTTTTCTGAAGATTCTGCTCAAATTAGCTAAAAATTGACTTCAGAATATTTAAAGATTCCCTGGGCACTACCAAAATACATTCTGTTGAAAAACAAGATAACAAACTTGTTGGTTTTCCACTTTTAAAATTGTACATTCATATAATCATAACACATACTACAAAGACAAAACTTCCTAAAAAAAGGACTATACTCTCATGTTTTATCACCCCCTAGACACTCGCACCTTCAGGCAAGTTAGCAACGTTCAATGTAGTTTTTATTCATTTGTGCACTTATTTTCAATTTATTTCATTTTTTCATTAGCCCAAAAGCATTTTTGTCTCATTTCCCAAGAATCTGCGACTTATACCTTTGAGCCTAGTCCATAATATAAAAAGATGATTAGGAACACTTCAGTTTATGAAATTAACAAATCTTTAAAAAAAAATTCCTCCCGTTGGTAATTTCAGTACAGAGAACATTAGGAAAATCAGGTAGATAAGGAAATATATTGCACTTCTCCCCATAGCACATCACATAGTTTTTAATCATTTTTGATGTGAAATAAATAAATATAAATAAATAAATATAAATAAATAAATAAATAAATAAATAAATAAAAATAAATAAATATAAATAAATAAATACAAATAAATAAATATTCCATTACATGAAATTTAAACTTTTACCTCTTCATGGATGCGTGTGTTTTCAGCTGCAATTTGTCTCCATGTATCATGATAGAAACTTGCAATAATAGGATCTCTAACATCGAAAATGCTGTCATTTGGTGATCGAGCATCTAATATACCCAAATGTTCCTTAAATAAGTAACGCCTCAATGAACCAGCAAATTTCCCTGAACTGTATGGATTTCCATTCATGACACCATCATCAAATTCACAATCCTATTTGTAAACAAATTGAGAAGAAATTAATTTTCACAAGAACAAATGATAATAAAAAATATAAAGTACAAACCATAATTTTCAATTACCTTCAAAACCACAGCAATTTCAGAATCCCGTTTTCCCAAAAGACTTCGATCATTTATATTTGCTGAACCACAAATGACAATATTGTCATCAACAATAAGTAACTTTGAGTGAACATAAATCAATTCAGACACCTGAAGTAAAAATAACAATCTGTTATAAAGTATCTGCCACAACTTTATTTTTGAAACTACACATTCAATTTATAAATTGAAGTTGATATTTCTCACCGGGTCCCCATTTAATGAGGAATGTGTTCTAAGCCCATAAAAAGATATGTACTCCATGGGATCAGATATTCCTGCTTCTTTCAGTCTGTTTAGAATAGCTTCTTTACCGCTGCAATAATTCAAATCATTTTCATAGAATTCTTCCTAACAGAATGATTATGCTCTCAATGAAAATCTTACCGACAAATGGAAGAATAATTCCAATGAGTAATAGCATGCAAGGCTCTTCCTGAAGGGCTGCCAACTTCCCCCTCAAATCCTGGCAATAAGGGCATTATCACAAACACTCTGAATACAGCCTCCTCCCTGCCAATAAACAAGAGCGGAATTAATAAGTTACTGTACCCTTTGATTTTATGCCATAGTAAAACTGACAGTACTTGTGAGCTCTCAAAATTCGTTTAAATAGGGCTTCTCCTATTTGATTTCGAACACTGGTACTTGTTGATGCAAGGGTAATAAAGAATTGGTTTTCAATATAAACATAATGTTTTGCATTTGTAATAATGTCAACATAAGCTTCATGAATTCCTTCTTCTAAAGTATCAGGTTCTAGGAATCCTCCAGACCACTGAGCAAGGCTTCGGACTACCTAAATAATCATACAAACAAATATTTAAAATTGGAGTTTGTATATATATTACATACATTACATTACATGAATTACATAATAAATTAAACTCATTTGATAAGGGTATGACTATTAATATGAAATTAAAATTCCATGAGAATAAATAATTTTTACCTGACAATCAACAGAACGCACTGGAGTAAGCAGAACTGGCTTTATGTTATCAAGATTATTGTATGACTTTGGTAATAGATACGGGTATGGGATACTAAATTTTGCTTTCTCCAACTGTAAAAAACAATGAACAGAATGAACATTAAAGAATAATGTAAATAGAATACTATAGTAGAACCCTGGTAACCAAACTAATTGGGGGGTGGTCAGTTCGTATTATCTGAAAAAATGTACTGTACATATACAAATACATCTATAGGATGATGCAACATAGTGTGCAGTATGAGAAAATGGCAATGTAGCTTAATGATTGTACCATCACATTGCATCGTCAAGCAGATTCAATTCCTTATGGCAAAAGAAGATTACCAATTTTGCAAGTTCCTCTTAAGTGAAAATTACTGCATCATAAACATATGATATACACCATAGTTACCAGTGCAATAAATGTTTCATCTTTACAACTCATGTTTCAACAATTAGTTGTTCAGTTCTATAATAATTATAAAATCCTTTCTTTACACTACAAATAAGCATTTCATTCATCGAGTTAATTTCTCCTCCCTGTGCAATTTTATTTGGATTATCTGAAATTTTGGATTTGTGAAGTTTGTATTAGTGAGGTCTACGGTACTTTACATTTATTACAGTGCCTACCTTTACTGAATTCCACCGCTGAATGAAGTGTCTTGCTACATCTCGTGCTGCAGCACCTTGAACCATCACACCAATATCGTGCCACGGCATGCGAGGTGTAGTATTACGGTCGACTAGATCTGCAAAAAATTTACTTTTTGGTAAAAGTTGTCAATCAAATTGAATTAATATGTCCGATGATGATGATGATGATGATGATGATGATGATGATGATGCTGATGCTGATGAATCAATTCAATGTATAATATTAACTTTAATGTGCTTCAATTCCAATGTGAAACTTACCTTGATATGGCAGATCTAGATTTTGAAAGTCCTTTACAATAAAATTTGTATAGTCTTTACCAATCCATAATTTTGCCATACCAGACAGTCCAACAACACTATTCCGCAGTGAACTGTGATATCTCATTATTTCACCATCTGCTGGCGGCATATCTTCATTGATGTAACGTTCTTCTTTTGGAATATTACCGTTATACTCACTGAAAATTTCACTGTTTTCATTGATTGCCTATCAGAATCAAACATATTTCTTACTACATATAAATCTTTGAACTTACACAGGTTCTGCAATTTGTATACCACTCTCTACTTCCTGGGTCTCTTCATCACTACTGTCAAAATCTGTACTCTGATACAACCAGTGGATCCACTCTTTCCCCTTAGATTTAGCGTTTTCAGTAGTCTGACGAACTTTATCCATAATATTGCGTCTCTCCATAGTAGGTGTATCACATTTGGCATTTTCAAGGGGCATTTCAGAGGCTACAAGGTCGGGTGCAGGTGAGGCCATAGTGACAGTCCTCTGCAGAGGCGGGGGCTCTGGGATCTCCAGGTCTGTCGTCTCCTCTGTCTCTTCGCTGGCATGAGCAGAGCAGAAAGAGCACGATGAAACAGAGCCAATTTGTGCTTTTGCTTTCAAGCCCAGGCCAAGAGGGAGAGAACTGCAATGTCATGCACATGCGGAACATGCAGTTAGAGTACACCCACAAAGACATCACCACTCAAGTTGTCTTGTCTATTTGAGTGGTTGCAACTAGACTAATTCAGATTAACTTGAGATGAAGAGGCAAAGAACCCTCAGAAATAGCTGTGCCTGCTTAGCTACGTGAAGAACTAATCAACATTAATAGGTCTAGGTTTTCTGCTCTCTAACCACTAAGACATGCACTTTAAACATTTACAAGAACTAGTGTGAATTATAACGGATTGAAATTGTGAACATAACTAGTCTTCATCGAATTTCATTGTCAGAAGTCAAACTTTGTAAAAGTAAGATCAGTTTCATAATAAAAAAAATTATAACACGAGTGTTAACAAGGTCTACTTTTACTTACTAATAACATCATTCTATTATTTTTTGCAGGATGAATATTTAAATTTAAACAAAAAACAAAAGGATCATTGGAATTTTAAAAAGTTGGTAAAAATGTTGCATAATATTCATATAACAACATTTTATTACATCACTCAAAACTACTGATCATCAATTGAGGCCTTTATGCCCTGTTTGATAATTCTCCAATTTTGAATGTCTAAGGACTCTTATTTTGGAAACAACTATTGAAGTAATTCTGTAAGTTTTCTTCAATTCCTAAATTATCAATTGAATAGAAATCAAAAAACAAATTTAACATAAAGAAATTAGGTAGGAAAGGGAAATTGCAATTCTATAAAACAGATATGTATCAAATTATTGCAATCGTAATCAACGACTCATAATGGAAAATAGAAAAACTTCAATCTCACCAAGACCACAACACGACTACAGAATATTCTCTACAACACCTCAATACTTCATGCAAAATACTACTTTGCCCGATGATATACACATGCCAGTGCAACTTTAGAACCATTCCTTCAAGTGTTTCTGTGAAAATTCTGAAATGCAACTCACCCATGAAGGCATGGGCTTGAACCACCTAGAGCACCTAAAGAGACAACATTAGAAGCGACTGCTAAATGAAGAAGCGAATGAGGATGATTTGCTTCGCCCAAAGGTCGACTGGAGGTCTGCTTCCGACGCGATGGCAGGAAAGGTCCAAGTGTTTGTGATACACTCCCTAAATCTGTAAGTCTAAAAATAAACCAAATACAAGTATCTCACTGATAAACAGCATTTCCAAGAATTTATATACATGATTTCTGGAGACTTACCTGTGATTATAATCATCCCAGCGACCATAACATAAATCAATTCCACCCAGAAATGCATATGTTTGATCTATTACAACTATTTTCTCATGATGTGCCCAGAGAAAAACACCTGCTTTTGCATGATCAGGATGCCGCAAAACCTACAAAAAGATAATTGTTAATTTTTTCCCTCCTAGACTTTTCTTATAACAAATGAAATATTAACAATGCTAAAAATAAAATTAAAGATTTACCTTAATGTTCGGATGTGAACATGCTAAGCGCTGCTTACTATAGTAGCTGTTTATTCCCATTGCCAGTTCAACTTCTTTGTACAACAAAACAAATATCTTAACACCTTCTTCCTTCATGATGAAACAGCAATAATTAAGAAAATAATTAAGTACAATTGTCCCATTATAAAACATTCACATACGTATAACAATTCACTTACAGCTTTCCTTTTCAAAATAGTATCGAGTCGCCATGTGTCTCCAAGTGCTGGTCTTTTCATGTAGATTTCAGGGCTTAACCACCAATCAGCAATGAAGATTTCTTCCTCTGCAGATTCCAGAGCATCTGCTACTGCAGCCATATATGTACAACCATCCACGAACCATGCAGCTCGCATTGATTCACGATTGGGAGCAAATGAATTATACCTATTTTTCTGTGTGAACTCTTTTGCTGTGAATTTAAATGAAAAATTTTCTTAAAAAATATTTATACTTACATAAAAGTATATGACAAAAACTTATTTGAGATAAATGTAGTAAAAAGTAGAAAGTTATTATCAAAGCAAATAAATAGCTATCTATAATTCATCACTGGAATTTTAATAATGAATATGCCTCTATTGAATTCAACAAAACAGATTCTATATTCTTCTATATTGCTACAGTAGAAAGGTAAAATGATAAGGTTTGAAGATAATGTACATTAAGGGAACAAACAAACTCTCACTAAACGTCTATTAAATACCACAAAAGTTCCAGTAATGAACCAGTTGGTACATCAAACATACTAGTAAGTTTAATTTTTTTTTCTTTCTTTTTCCAAGTTAAAATTCTATCATATAAAAATTACGCGATACACAATGTTATTAATTTAATAATCATACCTTTTCCATTAGCAATTTCTTTTAAACAGGATATCCATTCTTTTCTCTTTCTCCGGGTCCAACATTTAATAACCAATTGACTAAAAAATAAAATAAAAGTAAAGAGAAACTCACAATGAAAGATTCAGAAATTAGTTCTAATGTTAATTCTCAGACAAAGATGTCTACATTCGGAGGTGATGAAATAGGATTGAAAACTGCATGCAAATATTAAATGTACATAAAAAGTCACAATACGTCATGTAACATTTCAAGAAACATACCGAGAAAGATTGGTGATTTGCAAAACCCGACTCATACTTGTAGTATATATACCAGACGATACTTCAAAGCCACCATCAAAAAGCAGCACACATTTTACAGATCCATCTTTGGGACGTATGTAACCCATGTATGTGTCCTTCACAAACAGCCACCGGTTTCTCCATTTACCACAAATGTCTGTACATATGTATTTGCATCTGAAAATTCATACTCAATTGAAAATTCCAGAAGTGTATAATGTTTATTACACAATGTAGAGGAATGAGCAAATGTCCATTTTAAGAATCTAAGAAAAATAAATGAAGATCTTATTTACAGTACAGTAAACCCTCTTTAAAACAAATTCCAAGGGGCTGAAATAATCAATGTTGTCCAATATTCTATGTATGTGTAGGAATATATGTGAGTGAGCAAGAATGTGTGTGTTTAAGATATGTCAAAATTTGCGAGTTTGTGCTAACAAGGCAAGTAAAATGTCTTCATAAGTATGTATACAGTACCTTATGCATAAACTACTGTCGAGCAAGCCACAGAAATTGCATGATCCTTGTCCTGGACGAGTACTTCCAGTTCTTTTCAAAATCGGTCCTTCTTTTCCTTTATCGCCAAGCTCTTTCACAAAAGATAATTGACTCACTTCCAGAAAGTTAACCTACAACAAGAGATCATGTACTGGTGTATTTTTTAATAAGCACAAAATTATTTTATTGTTTTAGATCTTCATACGTGATTCCTTGAATTGGGCATTACAACTACTATTAAAAGTTTAAAATTTAACCAAAAGAAATTTCACAGCCAAACAACATCAATTATTGTACTTCAATTATCTTTCTTTGAAAATGATGCATACTGTTTCATGATGGTTACGATACAATCTTATTTTCAATAGATTGTTAAGGTAATCTTGAAGTTGTTCTTTCCGCTTGTCTACATCTTCATATGGAACCAAAGCTTCAGGTTTATTTGGAAACCTAAAATTTATTTCATTATTTGTTACAATAAGCAAACATCCATTTAAAAGTATATTCAAAGGCTTTTTACAAAGATCAAATACCGTGGTAAAGCAGATCGTTTTGCCTTTTTATCTCCAGAAGATGATGCCAAATCATTTCTGAAACTTGTCCTTCGTTCTCTGTGTGCCTTAGTGGGAAATGGCACATTCAAAGAGGCCCTATAGATTTTCAACTGTTGGTGTAAATGCTGAATATGCTTATACCGTTTCTTTATTTCCCAAGTGAATTCACCATGTGTTAGTTGTATTACATACCTAGAAAACAATAAAATAAAGTTCTTTGAGAATTGCTTTAATTGGAAGCACACAATAAATTTTCAACAAATATGGAACTTACAAATTAGGATTTAGAAGATGAGTAGTGACACTTCTTTCATAATCCACAATTTTGACCTGAATATCTTCATTAGGAATGAAAACTTTGCGCTGTGGAGATTTAAATTTTAATGGAGTGTTGTGAATTGTACGGAATGGTATCACCTTTGGATCTAAGAAAAAGAAAATAACATTAATCGTTACATTTACATTTCAGACGAGCAACAATAAAGTAGATTATTATTATTACTACCATTTATATTTGTGAAATTTATTGTCATAAAATTCCTTGATACATAAAAATCAGTCAAGGATACAGAAGAATTATAAACACACAATAAAGCATTCCCACACAAAGAAATTAATTATTAGCAAATACTACACAGGCGATCTAAAAATAAACAAATCTACCTAAATAACTGAATACATCAATAACGTGACATGTAGAACAAAAATAGAGAAGATCCTCAAAAAACACAATAAGAATGCCTTTTAGTTAGTATTCCACAAATTAATATGACAGATTTAGTGCGCCAGGAAAGAGTCTCAGCACTAGTTTGAGTCTCAGCACTAGTTTCTATTAAAAACCGAATTTATATTGGTAGCAAACCGATTGCCGGGAAATAAGTGAAGGAGACAACACCTCCAGCGTCTGTTACGATTGTGGTGAGTGTGGTATTTACTTTCTTTTCATACACACTGCTATCAACATAATTTTTATTGCAAGCATGAAGGTGCCAAAGCAGATTGTCCTCGTAAACTGTACTTTCATTATGAATAGTAACAAAAATGATAATTTGTATGTTCAAAAAACCTTTCTAAACATTTGAATTTAATTATATTTAGACAAAAGAAAAAGTTAATAGAAATAATATAACTCATTTAAGAAGTGTTCTGAATGTGTTCTGTCAAGAAGAATCTTGACACACAGATTATAATATGATTTTTCACATTCCGCCTTCTTCAGACAAACAAGCCATAAAAATATCTATGAGGAGGTTGTTCAGGAATACTGAAGTATACGTTTTTAAAGAAATTTTAAGGAGGAAATAAATATTTCCAACAATTTTTTTAATAAATTAGGGCAAGACTTTAATTGAACTACATTGTATAGTTACCACATGGTAAATTAGCATTTACTAGTAAAAACGAAAAAAAAAATCTATACTGTAAATCTGGTAATAGGTTACAATTGTGAGAGAACTGTCGGACCACCTTGTGTAGCACCTAAAGGTCTACAAAGGCTCTTATTTGATTCTCATTCTGATGTACCAGCAAAATATTTGAACAAGGGCAAATGTAAAGCATTATCTCTCTTACCAATTGCACTGGGTAAGTCAATGATCTTTCTCTATGTGATAGAATTCTGATATATGATAAATAAAATAAATAACTATGTGGCATTGCCTGTGATACTAATTGCACAATGTAATTCAATTCTTAATCCAATGCAACTTTCATATTAAAGACTTAATCAGTTTGAGTGAAAGACTGGCTTTACAGTATGAGGATATTTCATGTAGGCCCAATCTAAGTTGTAGTGCTTACTGAGAGAAAAATACAATAGTGATTTAAAGGTATTTTTAATGTGGCAAGCAATAGATGAGCGTCTTTTGTTGCTACATGTGGGTACACACATTCTCTAATGTTGGATTAAACATAATGCTACAAATAAAAAAAATGTGTTCCATGGATGAAAACAAATAAAAGGATGGAAGTTATGAAGAAAACAGGTGAATTTACAGGAATATTGTATATGTAATTGAAATTAAAGCGTAATGGAATGCAATGAAATAAAATTTCAACATTACAAGAGGCATAGTTCCAGGGGTTCATTGTGTGGTAAATAGCTTGGTTTGATCAGAGTATACCTGAAAACAAATGAGATGTTATGTTCATTCTCTTCCCTTACTCACAATAAATATTTAAGAAAAAAAATCGTGGTAAAGCAATCGCCTTGAACAATTTGGCAATGTGCTAGATGCATCCCAGCTTCTCCACTCATGCCTATTGAGAAGCCTTTCCCGGACGCATCAGCATGCATTTAGAATTCTCTGTGCATCCTCTGCTTCGTCAATTCTCGTTCCTTTTCCTACAGAGGAGCACTTCTGTTCATAAATCGTACTGTATAAAAAATATTGTATGTCTTACAACTTTTCAACTAATTCAATTTTCATAAGAATGATCCATCCTTAATTGGATTGTACAAATGCTATTTTCATCACTAATTCCCCCCCCCCCCCGTGGCGAAGGCAGACGGCGAAGAGACGGCGAAGGGAGACGCAAGAGACGGCGAAGGGAGACGGCGAAGGAGACGGCGAAGGAGTGACCGGCGAAGGGAACGAGCGAAGGGAGACGCGAAGGAGACGGCGAAGGGAGGACGCCGAAAGGCAGACGCGAAGGAGCGGCCGAAAGAGACGGCCGAAGGGAGACGGCGAAGGGAGACGCGAAGGGAGACGCCGAAGGAGACGGCAAGGAGACGGGCAAGGGAGACGCGAAGGGAGGACGGCAGAAAGGGAGACGGCGAAGGGGAACGGCGAAGGGAGACGGCGAAGGGAGACGCGAAGAGACGCGAAGGAGACGCGAGGAGAACCGGCGAAGGGAGACGCGAAGGAGACGGCGAGGGAGACGGCGAAGGGAACGGCGAAGGAGAACGGCGAAGGAGACGGCTAAGGAACGGCAAGGAGACGCGAAGGAGACCGGCGAAGGAACGCGAAGGGAGACGGCGAAGGGAGACGGGCGAAGGAACGGAAGGAGACGGCGAAAAAGGGAGACGGCGAAGGGAGACGGCGAAGGGAGACGGCGAAGGAGACGGCAAGGAGACGGCGAAAGGGAGACGGCGAAGGAGACGCGAAGGAGACGGCGAAGGGAGACGGCGAAGAGACGGCCGAAGCGGAGACGCGAAGAACGGCGAAGGGGCGGCGAAGGGAGCACGAAGGAGACGGCGAAGGGAACGCGAAGGAGACGGCGAAGGAGACGCGAAGGAGACGGCGAAGAGACCGGCGAAGAGACGCGAAGGAGACGCGAAGGAGACGGCCGAAGGAGACGGCGAAGGAGACGCGAAGGAACGCGAAGGGGAGACGCGAAGCGGAGACGCGAAGAGAC